CCCAATTATTTTCATAGTTTCTATATATTCCCCAATATATAGAAACTAAATAATTAGTGAGTTCATCTTGAGTGATAAAAAAATAAATATAGAAATAACAATGTGTAAGTACATATTCCCAGAAAACCACCCAAAGGCGAGCCAACAGTGCGGCTCAAAAGGCGATTGGTGCCGACACCGCGAAGTATCAACCAGCAGTTGCTGAACCTGTAGTTGCTGAGCCTGTAGCTACTGAACCAACGATGGCCAATCCTATTGAAGAAATTTATGGAGAGCATTGCATTCAGCATATCAAATCTGTTGATAAATACGATGAACCCAAGTTGGGAGATTCTCGCGTGTTGTCACCAAGTGTTTGGATCAAGTCGAAGATGCACACAGTTGGTGATTCCATCGACTACAAGCATAGTAATGATGTCACACCTGACTTTGGCAGCGACGGACACACGTATCTTTTGCGATATCAATTCAATGAACTGGATGAATCGGAGATGCTTGATAACTTCTTCTTTAAGTCCACTGAAGACCGTAATTTATTTGAACAAGCGAACGTTGAATGCGGTGTGGAATACTTCCTTGCAACGAAATCCTACGATGAGCGATTGCATGAATTATGCATGATGATTCAAAGTGATTGGTTCTGCAACAACCACAACGTGTGGAATCTCGCGGGATTCTTTGCTCGTCAACCTCATTCTGATTTGTATTTGATGCGCACGACCTATCTCTGTGTGCTCAAACAAAAAGTAGAGCGTTTCAACAAGGAGTTTGCTATCAAAGAATTCGATGGTTGGTTTGATTCCAAGTATAATCCATCACTGAACGAAGGGAAACTGAAAGGGATTGCTGCTGGTTGTCATCCTGCTGCATACAAGCAATGGCAGGATGAATATGAAGTCAAGGAGCCAAGGAAAACGTCTACTTCGAAGACGTTTGAGCTTTCTACACTTGATCAAGATTTCGAATTGACATTCAAGTCTGAGCGGAAGTTGGCAACACTAACTCAGCTGGTGGAATTAACTGGCCAAACAATTGATGACATGCGTTCAGCCATGGTTGCTACATCATTTAAGATCGATGAGCTTGAGTATTGGGCGGAGAAGTATCTAGTGATCGAGAACAAGCCCAATCGTGACTTTGATTTAAATTTCAGTACTTTCGAGAAGATGTTGAAAACTACCAGATTCGAGTCTCTTCATTTGCTGAAACGATTTGCTTCATTTACGAGTTCTACGTCTTTGAAGGATCAGATATCACCTACTACAAGCGTTGGGTAACGGAGGACGATAATTCTGTGATCAAGGCATATGATCCAAAGAACTTCTTCAAGGTGCAAATCGAGTTCATTGAAAACAAGAAGCCACGTTCCACCAAGCTGCCTGACCTTCTCAATACGGTTCCATTCCACAAGTTTGCAAACACTGTCTGCAAATGGGAACATGATCCAAATGATATGGAGACATTCAGCTTAGCGAATCCACTACTGGCAAAGGATCTTCACGAAGAAATTACCGAATCTGACTTGCACCCAGTATTAGTAGATTACCTGAAGCGTATCATTTGCTCCAATCATCCTGAGAGGTACCAGTGGTTGATGGAGTATATCGGTAGCCTTTATCACTATCCAGACAGCAAGACGAAGGTTATGCTCGTGTTATATTCACTGGAGAAACAGATTGGCAAGTCGAACTTCTTCAAGCTCCTTACGAGTCTTCTTGGAACGGTAAATACTCATATGACTCAGCATGTTACCAATGTCTTCGGAGAGCGTGGATCGCCACAGCTTCGACATAAAAAATTGTGCTGGTTTGAGGAAATTGCTGGTGATAAGCACTCGTTTCGTAATTGTCTTGAGCGAATGAAGTCTGCAATCACCGATTCCGTGCAATCTAGTCGAAAACTCTACCATGAAGAAGAAGTACATGGGAACATCACTGAATTATTGGTGCTTCCAACAACTTAATTGGCATCGTCGAAGACAAGATGACAATTTTCGATGTAAATCCAGCGGAACAGCACAACAAGGTCTACTATGGCAAGCTGATTGATGATGTGATCAAGAATGAGAATGAGATGAACAGATTCTACACATATTTGAAGTAGTTTGCGAACCCCAAGCCATAATCCTTCTTCTAAACGCCTATCTATGATTCAATGACAACTGCTAGCAATGAGGGCATTGTCAATTATGTCAATGAACTTAAGGAATCGGGCTTAAATGGAATCGTACACACTGAATCGCAGGACCAATATCGCGTGGAGAGAGATATCATGCATCAGCACTATCAAAGGTGGTGTGAGACTGACAAGCGATCGAAATTTTGTGAGAAGATCTCGAAGCTGGACAAGCGTATCACATTCAAGCGATACAAGGAAAATGGAGCTACTCCTTATGGGTTCTTCTTTCCAAATGATTTCAACCCAGTCTGAAGCTTCCCGAAGCAGCAATACGACGATTGCAACGCGGTTGAGCCATTCCAACACCAGTTAATTGCTTCATTCCTTTAAAAATTCATAACTAAACTCACCAGTCTCGGGACCAGTAAGATCAGCAACAGTATCCATTACAGAGCCAGCAATTGGCTTCCAGTTATTTTTCAATAATACCCAAACTGATTTTCCAGCTTCTTTGGTTCCATCCCATAAATCGCCCCAAAAGCCACTTCCATCTAGTCCAGATTGCTGCGTACGTAATACCTCTCCATGAGTCATGTGGAGAGTCGTTCCTTTACCAGATTCATACGCTTTCACAAGCTTCTTGTAAGTCTCTGGCCCACAATAGTGAGCATGACCAGCATTAAGCTGTGCATGCGTTAATCGAACAGGTTATCCATGCAAAACCTTTAAAGCCTGCGCGTGGCTAAGGTTGACACGGAACTCTATATACATCTTTATATATATAAGCACAAAATAGAAAAATGTCAAAGCTTAAATCCAAAAACCAAAATCTAGATGAACTGAAACAAATAATTATTCGCGATCTCGAAATGAGCAATGACAAGCTCTCCAAAGCCACCATGGAACTGTATGTGAGACAACTTCTCAGATTATTCAAATCGGGGAAGGAGACTATGCAATGGGATCCAAAAGAATCATTGCTCGAATCCAATATCCCAACAAGTATGACGATGCAAATTTTCAGAGAGTGTATGGCGTTCAGAACTCTGATATGATTGCTGAATTGATGCGTCTTTGCAAGAGCAAGGAGAGTCTGATTCTCACTCTAAGTGCATTCTGTAAGATGGTCAAGAATCGCTTCCGCGATGCATTTGGACACTATAATGCTGTCAGAAAGGTACTTAGCAAGCAGAACAAGTCGGAGAAATTGGATAATGAGCTGACACCCGAAGAATAGAAGAAATATATTAGCTATGAGGAACTGATGTCTGTTCCGCAGAAAGTCAAGAAGATCCTTATGGATACATATGGTGAGGTCTTTCTTTCCAACAACGAGCTCAGTAAACTTACCAAGGCGAAGCGTCTTGCATATCTACGGCTTGTCTTTGACTATGTCACTCTATATCTCAACGTCCATTATCCGTTGCGTCTCGTAAGGCTAACAGTGCATTTGCGACCCGTGGACGTGGGTAACTATCTTCAAGGAACAAAGCTACATTTGAACAACTTCAAGAATGTCCGCCTGATTGGTGCGCAAGTTATTGATTCAGACGGATCCACGGTCAATCTCATTGCACAATTTCTTCACTTCTTAATCAATTCTCTCGGGCAAACACCAACAAAGCTGCTCTGGCGATTTTACAACAATAGTCCAGGCGAATACGACACCAATAATGGATTCAGTTCAACTCTCTCAAAGCTCTTCGTAAAATACAATGGAAAGCCGATGAGCATGAACATGATCCGCCACATTGTTGAATCACATCTGATCCAGTCACCAACATATGCGAAGCTTAATAATCGAGAGAAACACGACCTTCACGCTAAGCTACTCCATAGCCAGTTTGCTGCCAATACGAGCTACAACAAGATTGCAAACAGATCCACAGCATCAGAGGTTAACGAGGAAGCTCCTGACTTCTCTTATGAGCCAGCACCTCAACCACCATCACCTGCTAAGCCGCAAACACGTTCTAAAACACGTAGGGAACGCATATTCCATGAAGATTTCACTCCAACAGGCAGTGATAAATCACTTGAAATTGAAATATTCGAGAAGTAATATAAATACATCCAATATAAAAAGCAAACCACGTCCAAATGGCATCCAAACGCGGTCCACATGTTATGAATTTCAATGGATTGCACGCGCGTCTACGAAGCGGAAAAACACATGTAAACCTTAAGACTATGCCGTCTCTCATGCGTTCGTTGATTTATGGCACCTGATTGAAGATGAGAAGAGCTTCGACAAGCATGTGTTCAGCCTTCTCGATGAGCCTGAGCAAGACTTCATGAGATACTGCTTTATCAAATGTCATATCAAGTCACGAGAATTTGATTCGGTGTACAATGAGGAACTGGATGGTGTTGTAAAGCGCCTGAAGATGCTACAAGGAGCTACGGCTATTGGTGATGATAATCCAGACATAAAAAAGGAAATGAAGCAGCTTCTTGACAAGCTGTATGAGAAGGGAGTTTTCTCAACAAACTATTACACTCAATTCAAGCGTCTGATGAAGCTCTCATAGAGTCACGCTTGAAGATGAGCAACTTGCTTGTGTCGATGTATTTCGGCTTCTTCTTCTTTTTCTGCTCTTTCGTGAGCTGAAAAACGTTGATCTCTTCTCCAATTGTTTGGTTAGCGTCTCAATGTTAGTAGAACCATGATCAGTCTTAGCAGGCACTAATGCCTTAACTGCTCCCGACGTTGTTCCATCACCATCAATATTCATAGGAGATGGCATCATCTGCCGACGAATTCTTTTCCTGCGATGCATTTTTTGATTTAGTTACTTATACATAAGCAAATCAAAATGTCATTTCCAGTTTTGTTGAACGTGAACAATCAAGTTGCCCAGCATCAATTCAGATATCAATTCAGTCAGCCGATCGATTTCAGTCAGTTCGAATGCGCACTTGGCGCAATCAGCATCAACTATTCGTGGAAGGCAATCACTGCTCAACGCCAAAACAACTCATTCGAAATCATTTGGCCGACAGCGGTAACAGCAACAACGTATTCAATCACGTTGCCAGATGGCACTTATATAGCAAGTGATATCAACAACTACCTGCAGTATTGGAGTATCCAACACAACTTGTATTTAACCAACAACACCACCGGTGAATATTACTACTCATATCCTGCGCGGAGAATGTGTCATCTTACGCAATTCAATTCACGATGCAGCCCGTGAAGAATTTTACTGGATATACTGCGGCAAGTGGATTTCCCACAATGCCCGTAACAGCATACACCCCACAACTAATCATCGATAATTCTGGCTTTGGTTCGATTGTGGGGTTTTCGAATGCCACGTATCCAGCTGCTCAAATCACGAGCGTTTACGCTGTGAATAGCAACGTAACGCCAATGATCGATCCTGTAGCAGCAGTTATTGTTGGCTTGTCTAATCTCTACAACCCAATTGCAAGCAACAATCAAGTGCTCCACACATTCACGGCAGCAGGAGTAGAATATGGTAGACTCATCACCACGTCACAAGGTCAAGGTATTGCGTATTGTTCAATGCAAGGAACCAACAATGAAATCACATTGAGCTTCTTTGATCAAGACATGCGCCCCCTCCAGATCGTCGATGGGAATGTATGCATTCGTCTGTTGATGCAACTGAAAAAAAGTGATTCAACGATTTAACTTGATTGAGTAGCTTGACAGTCCATATGTTTTTTTGACTGCAAATGTCGTGCGCGTTTGCGACGTGTGTATTTTCCACCACATCCGCAGTCGGACTTTTCGTTGGATTTCGCCTTATTCATTTCACGATATTGCTTATCGTATTCCTTTCGAGTCATTGTCTTGATTGAGAAGGGATTCACTTTATTTACTGCTGTTTTTCTGAATATGTTTATCCAAAGCTGCTCATATGCTTCTAGGTGTTTGCGATCGACAACGTCATATTGTTTCACGAGCACGATTTTGAATTGATCAATTCCATGACGCTTGAATGACGGATAGATCGCAATCTCTTTGCGCGGTCCTTTTAACCACTTAGCGTAATCTTCTTTGTGTTGCTTCCAGCGCTGCTTCAATTCCTTATTCAAAGTGCTGCCTACGTAGCAAATATCACTCTGAGAGTGAATAATTATGTAAATGCTGCCAATCATATTTACCACTTTTGTGTTACTATATATCTTACTTTTTTCGCTTAAGATCTACTCACAAATCGCAAATATATTCGATGACGTTTTGGTAAATCTTCCTCTCGATAATATTCATCATCATGGTTGACATTTTTTTGCTTGTGATTCGTTTGTAGAGATCAACGAAATCTTTGATTGGAATATCGCTTGGAAAGTCGCGGCAGATAATTTCGAGATCACCTTGAGTCAAGTTTCGACCAAGAACCACATATTGACTATTGATACGAATCGTCGTTGGAATGCCGAAGTAGCTTTGGCTAATGTATATCATATTCCAACCAAGCTTTCGACCACAAATAAAGAATTGGCCTATCTGAGCTTGAGTCTTCTTTGGTTCGAGGACCAAGTCATCAAATATAACTAGTTTGCTTGTCTCAGAGTCATAATCGCTCATCGCTGCAACTACTCCATTTTCAAAAAAACTCTACATTATCAATAGTGTCTTTGAGATGATCGTACAGGGTTTTATTTGTCTTCGTGCAGATGACGATCTTCGCAAAGCATTTGCTCAACAACGCGATGATGTAGAGTACGGCGTTACTCTTCCCGCTGCCCGATGGACTTTCTATGCACATGCGAAAGGGCGACTCGAAATGCTCATTCTTCGGAAACTTCTTGAGTTTCTTCTTAACTATATACAAGCAACCAAAAATGTCTCTCCCACCAACGACAAACAGTCCAATCTTCAACAGCTCGTTTTTCCTTGGATCAAATGACTTTCTCACAATTGCTGTTGCAGACAAACGATACCAACAAATAGGCGGAACTGGTGTTTTTAGTTCAATTGCTGTGGCTGGAAATCTTGACTGTGGATCATTGACAATTGCGGGATCAGCGGTTGACTTGACGAGTCTCTCAGGTGTGACAGTAGGAACAGTCACAGTGTCGAAGGTTGTTATGGTCGATGTCAGCAAAGACATCAGATCTTTCCGGAATCTAACAGCCACTAACTTGATTGGCACGTTTCAAACTGCCGCACAGCCAAATATTACATCTGTGGGACCGTTGAGTTCACTGACAGTATCTGGGAATATCTATGGAACGTTAACCACTGCTATGCAACCAAATATCACTAGTGTTGGTACATTGAGCTCGCTGACAGTGTCTGGAAATATCTCCGGAACGTTGGCTACCGCTTCTCAGCCGAATATGACATCTCTTGGAACTATCACTGGATTGACATCGTCAGGAAATATCACAATAACAAGTGGTGGAGCTCTGTATACGACCTATACGAACAACACGACTTCATCGACGATCTATCAGCGATGGTCAAATACACTTGCAACAAATATTGTAACCGATCTCTGGATGTCAAATGTTGGATCAACGATAGGAACGAATAGCGCTCATCCTTTCAGAATTCAAACTGCTGGGGCTGCTCGTATATACGTTGATGCATCAGGAAATGTCAACATAGGAACGACTGCTCCGACTAGCACATATAAAGCGCAAACTTCACAACGCTTTATCAAAATGGAGTTCAAGTGGCAACATCGACTGATGTATCATATCTCTCTGGTGTAACGGCAGGAACAGCTACTGCAAGCAAAGCTCTAGTGTTAGATGCGTCAAAAGATATCTACGGAGTAGATGCCATTGGGTTGAACAACATTGGCCCGACAAACAACTCAGCTCTACTTTACAAAGGGATTCTAAGAAAAAATCAAGCGACTGGTGAAGATGGTATTCAGATTTATGACACTCAATTTCATGTCACATCAAAATCAATTCTAAGTTTATATCCAGTGAATGGCGACACTCCAATTTATTTGAACTGCTTCAACTATCTCCGAGGAAATTTTAAACTGTTTCAAAGTGGAAGCACTGGTGCATACAATAAAGATATCTGGATTCAGTATGACATAACTAGTGCTTCCAGCGCTGGCTTATCACACAACAACATCTCCTTCGTCGATACTAGTGGAGCGTTGGCATGGACACTGAATCAGTACAATTCCAGCAAGCAGATAGTTCATTTTGCCAGCACCTTGAGCGATATCAATACCAATTACACTAACTTCAAAACAATTCTATGCGAAGGGGTGATAATGAAAAAATCACTCATGCCCTCAAATAGCACAACAGCTACTGTATCTCCATCATCTCAATTTTGTGTTCAAGCGACAACAGCATGGCTAGATGGATCATATAACAAAGCTATTCGATGCATCACAGATAATGCATCTCCATTGGAATTTCTTGTAGAGTTGAATGCTGGATCAAATGCGACGTCGACTAACGCAACATGGATCGGGAATGTTAGCAACAATGATTTGAGATTTGGAGTCAATAATTCCACGAAAACGATGAATGAGAGATTGGGAATTGGAACAGCTTCGCCTGTAGCCCTACTTCACGTAAGCTGAAGCAATACATATACAGTTGTTCCGATTGCAACCAACACTTATAATTACAATGTGTCAAACAACACATGGACGAACAATGGAGGAGGTCCATTTAGCTTTAGTATTAGCGCGTACTTCAGCTCCAACATAGATGTTGGAGAAAGTGTATATACTTCTTCTGATAGATGGTTGAAGGAAAATATTAAGCCCATTGAATTGAGTCTAGATCATTATCAGAAATTGAATTCCGTATCCTATAACTACAAAACGATAGCACGGCTAAACTAGGTTTGATCGCACAAGACTCGCTCAAGGTATGCTCTGAAATAGTCAACTATAGTCCAAATGAGAATCTCGAAAAAGTTGACGAAGATGATGTTGAGGGCTTTCAATACAACATTGATTACAATCAATTGGCAGTTCTAAACTGTGTTGCTATTAAATCCTTGATCAAAAAAGTCGAAGAACTAGAAGCAAAAATTAACTCATCTCATATAAAAACATGGGAAACAAAAAACCAAAGCCAATACCGGAAGGTACAGCCATCATCAACTCAACTGTGATATCATTAGATTCAGTAATGATACTCGATGGAAGGATTCTGCTACCAGTAAGCGATGGAAAGGACTCATCCGTTTTTGAGATCGATCTCAAAGAAAAAGATAGAGGTGCTTCGAGGCGTCCGAGGAAAGCTGACAAATAAATCCTTGTCTTCAAGCAAAAAAAAAACACCGTGCGCATTTGTCTTTAAAGATGAAGATGCCCTTCGAGTACATAGCTTCTCTATGTAGAGTGATATTGTTCAAGTAGAAACTTACGTGTGTAGTACAACCTTCATCCACTCTTTTAATTTTTTTGGATTCGTTCATTTTGGCCTTCGTGTGTTTTCCTGTCATTTTCGGTGCATGCGTATCAAAATAATTATTACCATGCCTTTCATCTACGACCGATTTAAACTGTGTTCTAATAGTATCAAAAAGATGGTTTCGATTTGCACCTGTGCTATCATCAACAACTTTATTAAAATAAACTTTTACACACTCCTTAACCTCCTCTTTCTTATCAGTGCTAAGATCAGCAGAGCTCATTGTGCGCTCCATTTCTTCCTGTTTGATACGAAGTTTTGGTCGAAGATTAGGAGATGTCTCATCTGGAGCAGTTGCATCACGTTTACGTTTCAAGAACGCTTTTGCGATTTCACTGGCCTTGTCGTCAATCGTCTTTAGAAGTCTTATGGTTATGCATAAATACCTTGCTTCTAAAATCTTTATTTTTCTTCAAATATTTTCTTATACGATTTTGAAAGGCTTGTTCCATATTTATTCCTTTATTGATTTTAGTGTAATCGAAGTTGTTCATATGATTCATGAAATTATTATCGTTGAACATTTCTTCGTACGAGAAGCTTGGTGAAGCATTCATGTTCGCGTTCGTATCAGTTTGCTGAGGAACATACTTATATTTCTTTGAAGATGTGGATTTGGATTTGGTTTCTTTTGGCGCGTCGCCGGGTCCCATCATGTCATAAACATCTCCAATAGATGGCTGTTGTTTACCTTTGATCCGCTTTTTTCGTGAGCTTTTGAGTGATTTGATCGTAGTCATATTCACGATTCTTTCCCATCACTTGCTGGAATAGGTTTGCTAACGAATCGCTGCTAGCATCGTCCAGAGCTTGCTCTTGGATCATCGCCTTCAACTTCGCGCCTTGGACAAAATCACTTTTGGCCATTGCATTGTAGTAGCGATCGTAAGCTTTTTGCTTAGTTTGGTTATCAGTGAAGAACCCGTTCATTGTTGCTGGATACTATATTTGGCAGATCAAAACAAAAAATATATTGAGAAGACAACGATGCCTAATGTTGAACTGGACCTTGCGATACAGTACCTATAGCAGTGTCGACGCTAGCAACGACTTCACGGAGAATATGGTAATAGATCGTGAGCGCGTAGTTCGTGTTGTTCGTGCCTGAAACAATGATCGACTTGCTCGCACCATCTTCACTAGGTAGACGACGGCGAATATCGACAGCAACGAATCGGTAAAGCGATTCCCATAGACGTTGACAAAGTAAATCAGCGTTTGTTACATCGTCTAGGTCACCGTCAACACCAGACTTCGACATTTCTTGAACGAAGAGATCGTAGCCGAAGTTGACAGGGTTATTCCAGATTGGGGCGTTTCCTACCGTTACCTGTAAGTTACGTAAGGCGGCGAAAGGACTCGTTGTGGCTGGCACGATACTGAAAGGACTACGGAATGGATTGATCACATCTGGAAGAGAACTAGATCCTGCAGCCATATTAGTGATAATAGGTTGCATGATCCATTTCTTTGGATTAGCAATACCGTTTGTGATCGTCCACGTGAAGGATTGACCAGCTTGAACGGTGAACTTGTTGGTTACACGTTCGAAATAACGGAATGTTTTCTTCTGGATAAGGGCATTGTCAGCTGATGGATTTGGACTAAATGTTGGAACTAACAAACGAGAGGATGCTTGGGATGGAGCAATACCATTTCCCGAAGTCGCTGTGCCGTTAACATCGGCAGTAACTGTCAAGATCGTGCTAGCCGGAACGTTGAGACCGGTTGGAGATAGCGTGGCGGTTGAAACAGCGGAGTAGAAGTTCCAAAGAATTGGACAAGTGTTGCCAAATTGCATGTCGTTGCTGACTGCGATGGTTCCTGGAGCAACGACGCCAGTGGAATTAGTCGTAATTGTGGTGCTCGAACTGTTGTAGTTAATGTAAATAAAACCACAGGTGTTCTTCTGCATTGGGCATTTTTTGAAGTAATCACAGATATCCTTGAGTTTGATGCATGCTAAATAATGAGCTACATAGAATGGGGCATCATTAGCAACCGATCCAGCTGACGCAACATATACTTGTGGTTTTGACACAGCTTGGAGGTTGGCGGTTAAACCCATGACATCGAATGCAAGTTTGTTGACTTGCTGATCGAGAGCAGTAAAGAGTGACCGATCATAAGCACCCTTATTGAGCAGCGTATTTGACAGACCAAACTCTCCAACAGTGGAATTCATAAACGAACTCGTTGTAACGTTGTCAAGATTCTGTGTTAAGCTACTTCCAGCAACCGGAGAAGCGTATTCGTCAATGACGAAGTTGCTAGTTTGGCCATGCTTGAGAGAGGTGTTATAATCCCATTCAGTTAAGGCCTTGAATGTAGCATTGACGTTCTCATGAACTTGATTTGTTTGGGGACCGTCGTAACATCAATGACAACTTGAACCGAGTCAATGAATTGCCAGGCACCTGCCTTAGGAACAAGTTGATCAATTGAACAAGCACCAGTCGAAATCACCGATGATCCCGTGCTGTTTGTGATTTGAAGCTTGATGGGAAGCTTAATGACAGCTTCTTCCCAGTTTGCTTGCGACCAGATCGTCGCAAGATTGAACTAAATCTGGCCAGCATATTGACCCGTGTTCGTGGTCGAATCTTGAATATAGGTCCATTTCTTATCGCGGAAGAGCGTTTCAGCTGGCGCTGGTTTGACGGAGTGCTCGAAAGCAGAAATACCGCTTGCGGTGGACATTGAAAAGAATGAGATAGCTTATATTGGTCAAGATATAGATCGCCAGCAAAAACATAATAACAATCAAAAATTGCATGGTGTCTACGATACCGAGTATGAGCGCAAAGTCAATTATCAAATTATCTCGAACAACAGATGATCAACTCATGAAACTCGCTAATTCGCTTGGAGTCAAAGTAGACTAAATCGATTTCAAGCAGAATCTTGACAGAAGCACAGATTATGCAATTCTCAATATGGGTACGCAAAAGATTGGTGGTACTTATGGGATCGTAGTCTCTAACAGAGACAAGCGCTACTTCGATCCGCTTGATTTGCCAAGACCTCGCGTGATTCCAAAAGACTACTCATATATCAAGAAGTTGATATCCAAGATCCTCCATCCGGACACTGTGGGCAATATTGCGTGCTTTGGCTTTACTACTTCCAGAATGGAAACGACGATGACTTCTACAAGCTATTCGATCAGCAAGTGTGATCTTGAATACGACGGCAGAGATAAAAAAAATACCTCACCTCGAAGACTGTTTCATGTTCGCCATCACCAAACTCAAGGTCTTCTCTCGAATGTTTGCGTCAGACTTCAACATATCAGTGTCGAATGTAAATTGCTTCACATTGATTGGTGTGATTGTTGTAGTGTAAACTTTGTAATAATTATCATCAATAACGACTGGCTCCTCGTCAGTTATATCAACGTATTGAATGTCCATTTTCTAGGTATATATATCTGAAATATATTTAAGATAATATAGAAACGATGTAATTATCTTCATGTTGTTCATATGTCGTTTTGACGCTTAGCGCGTATAGGCTCACCATGACTATCTACACACTGTTATTATCTATATCTACAAGTCTCTATGTTTTTTTTTGCCAGGGTCACAAAAAAATATCATAGTCTAAGCACTCTGTTCTTCTAGCCACCGCTTGTGCTTCTGCGATCGAATGTGAACATGGTGACTTGCAGCAGAATATTTGCCGCCACATTCACAATTGGATCGAGCTGTTAGTCTGGCTTTAGAAATGGCATCCCATCGTTGCTTATTTGCCTTATAGTATTCCTTGTTGTAGGCCTTGAATTTCTCTTTAGTATCTTTTCGATACTCTTTTTTTCGCAGCTGATCGATCGTAAACGCATTGTTCTGATTTACTGCTGTTTTCCTAAATGTTGTTATCCAAAGTTGTTCATACGCTTGAAGATGCCGTTTGTCTACAACCTTATACTCCTTCACGAGAGTCATCTTGAATTTATCAATGCCGTGAGTTTGAAGTATGGAGAAATTAACATCTGTGTATGCTTGCCTTCAACCCAACGTCGAAAGTTATTTTTGTGTTCTTGCCAATGCCATGACAATTTATTGATAGTAGAGCCAATATAGCATAGGTCACTCTCAATAGGGATGATTCTGTAGACTTGGTCAATCATTTTATTTCTCAAACTGGATTTCCAATTTTTATAGTTTCTATTTATTGATCAATATATTTATCAGAATTAAAATGAATTAACCCCTTGAGCCCGGAGGGGTTTCAGATCCCCCTGGGAGCTAAGGAATTAACCTGTATGTCGTAGAAAGGGCCCACTACAAATGCCTATATAACTCCGTATCCTGTATATTGGATAAGCGCATTTTTCCCCTACACCTTTGCTGGCCTAACAGGTATATACAGGATTCGATGCCAAAAGATACTGGTTAACGAATGATAACCTGTATGAGCTGTGTTACAGACTGAACATTGCGCAGAGATGCGTCGCGTTGTGTCCCGACTTTGGGAGCGTCTCCATCAGCAACCAACACAACACATTGATGACCAAAAATGCGTATATTGAAATTAAGATAAACGCACCAGCTGGATTCAGCTGTTCTGGCGCGCTCTCTTCGCCTGGCGCTCGCCGGACGACTCATCACTTGACGACTGGACCTCTTCCTCGCAAACCTCGCCCGGGGTGCGCGTGCGAAGCTTGCTCTTGCTGGCTGGGCGCCGCGTGCCGTTCCGCCACCCCTCGTGCCACAGTTCGAAGCAGGACATCGAGGCTCCAGTGTGCGTATGACGCACCTTGTCGCACAGGAATACTCGCTGCGCTTGTGGGTTGTTCTGCAGCGTCTTTCTCTTCACCTTGAGCTTGCAGAAGCTGCAGTACGTTGACGTGTCGTTTGCGGTCGTTCCAGAAATACCCTTCATCCAAGAGCACACTTTGCAGGCTCGCACACATCGCTTCTGGCCCTTCCCGTCGTTGCCCGGACGCATTTTCGCGTTCTTCAGCGGCAAATGCACAGCTCGTCGGCCGGATCCCGCTGCTGGAGACTGGGTCGGAGTGGCTTGCCCGTCGTCACGCAGGAGAGCATCCCAGTCTTCCTCGCGGAGTTGGCAGAGATCCAGGTGCAACTGCTTCATAAACTTGACGTGACTAAGCTTCTGCAGCCCTGCAGCCGCCCGTGCGGCGTTTTGCGTGATGTACGCGTTCACAATGACAAGATCAATCAGACCAAGAAACAGCGACTTGTAGTATTTCTTGTACTTGATCGCAAGCTGAAGCGAGTACCTAAGGAACAGTATAATACAGGTTTAGCTCAATCCGTAACCTGTATACTCCAGGATGGAAGACATACCTTTGCGGACGGAGTTGGTCGTGCACGTCCACTCCACCCATGAACGTATGATAATCCTTCATGATCCGAGGGCACGCGAACTCCTTTTGCATTCCAGAAATCTTTTCTCGCCTCACGACACGATCCATCGCATCACTACCACCGGTAGCCAACAGATATACAGCTTGGGAATCCCACCACCGTATTGCCTTCATTATTGGAAGCTGAGTGAACTCGCTTACAGCAAAAGTGCCCCGATCAACACTTTGCGGGCGCTTCTTCGGGATAGAAACTTTCTTTTTCTCCCCCTTCTTCTTGCGAGACCCACTATCTCCTCAGGTAAGCCCAGCCTCGCTGTATTGATTGTCCCCACGAGATAAAAGTTCATCGTTAGTAGCTGCAGTGCCAAAGGGATTGACGTGTAGTACCGGTCGGTGACAACCAGCCTGAAGTCGTTTCCTTCAGTGTCATAACGACCAAATACATGGCGAAGGTTGCGTGCCACAGCAGCGGGACCAGTTTTGTTGTCGTTTTCTTGGTTTGTCTTGCCACAGTAGACCTCAAACCTGTATAAGACAGAGTGGATTAGCGCTCAGGCGGTACCATACAGGTTAAGATAACTTAGCGATAAAAAAAGCGAGCGCACCCGAAGGCACGCTCGCTACTTACCGAATGCAGTACGCGGTGCGGGAACAGCACAACATAAACAGCTTCGTGCCCCATTTGTGGGGTTTGTCTTTCATGAAAACTCGCATGCGGTTGAACGAAGACCTGGATGGAAGCATGGCCTCATCAAAAGCCATGATAGCCGGTGGGGTATATCCAGCCGCAAATGTCCTTTGCAGTGCATCCACTACTGGCCGCAGCTTCCAGGCCCTGTCAACACGCGCACGAGGGTCACTGTTGCAACTAAAGTGCAGATTTCTGGAAATGTGCATGAAGCGGTCACGTGCCATAAAGTTTCCCAAACAGCCACGTGGAATAGCACCTTCATCAACCTTTTTCCAGTGGTGTGCCAGCTTCTCTTTATTTGGCACGACAGTTCGTGCAACCAACAAACCAATAAAAATGCACAGTTCCCGACCACTTATTGCTTCCATTTCCTCCATATCTTGACGCAACTTTTCGAGTGACTTGGGCTTGAAACCAGCATGCTTCTGAGCACGCGCTAGCTGCTTCAAGTGGAGCCCATTCACACGTTCGTCAATCTTCTCAGCAAAGTAATCGTTGCTCGTATCAGCAATGGATTCCCAAAGTTCAGGTTCAGCAAAGAAGAAGAAGGCACCGGACGCAGTTGCTGCCGCCTTCAGCGCTTGCCTAGTAGGTCCAGACGTTCCCGAGTAGAGATAAGGGTAGTCTTCTTTCATTGCATCTGCGGGTCTTTCCTCATACGGCTGCATCATGTAGTCATACGGTTCATGGGTTGCTGGTTTACTCCATCCGTTACTGTCCATGCTCTCCAGACCCCGCAGAAACTCTTCACGCACACTTCCATCTTCGATACGTGCCTGGCCTCCACACGCCTCGATGAGATGGGGATGCATTCGGAACGACGGCATATCAGGCCACAACGGCAAATCATCGTCAGACATATGTGATTCATCATCGCCTTCATCTCCATTTAGCGAAGCACCATCATCATTCTCAACATCGGACTCCAATGCGACGTATTCGGATGGGTTTTCACCTGAGCGATATATGTTTGCATCTACAGTACATATTAGCGATACACGTTAGGTT